TAGGGAAATATAAGATGTGCAGTATTTGAGTAAGGACTTCTTTTTTTTTTGTCTCGCGTCTACAGGGTACATGCATCTTTACATCTTTTCCACCTACCTTGAACACACTCAGCTTAGACCATAGAAAAGTCACGGCATAAGAGCTTGAAGTTACCTTTTAAATTCTCCACTTCATCAAGAAGCTACACCCATTACTACTGAGGCCATGTCATAATGTGAAATTACAAGACTGTCTGGTCAGCAATGCAATGAAGTGGCTCAAACATCAGGTTTTCAGAGTAACCACTTTGGACTTCGTTAAGTTTAAGCATCCTTGCTCTGTGATCAGACTATAAAAATGGGAAAGGCCCCAAACTATTTGCATGTTGAACTTGTCCTGAAAAACATTATTTCAAAGTTAGTTCATTATTATTGTAGAGTAGGAGGTATATAAAAAGTGCATATAACCTTTACAAATTAAAAGCTTAAAGAAGACTACTTACATAATCATACCAAACTAGAAAAAATCAAACATGGTGTTCAAATAAAGTCATGAAGCAAGGTAACAGCAGAAAAGGTCACTATTATGAATTTGTAGCGTAATGAAGAGTGCCACCAACTGAAACAGGTTCCCTACTAACGAACATGATCAAGGCAAAGAACATGAAGCTTAAGCAGTTACCACTGCCAAAAGGGAGATACACCAAGGAATAAGCTGCAGAAAAGCATGGTAAGGGATATATATGTCATCCCAAAGTTTCCCATTTGTAATCAGTTAAAATCGATGTTTTAATAGAACATAACCAGTAATTTCAGAAATTTAATGCATTACAACATATCTGTAGGCTGGATAAAGAAAACCACAAGTCTTCAGCTAAAGTACCCTTTCTTTTTTCATTCTGGATAGAAGTATTTTAAGTTCAAAGGCAAGTACCTCCTGCATAAACATACAGGGAAAATATCCTGGTTGCCTGTTATAGTGTTTTTAAAGGGCAGCAAACAAAATATTCTCCACTGTATATATGGTGAAACAGTGGTACAAGAAGCAAAGCAACTTGGAGAGTTCATCCAGAATACTAGGAACAGACCCTCTAGCAGAACACTAGATGAAGAAGAAATCAACCACACATGACTCAGTATGTTTGAAATTGCCTCTGCTTTGGGTCACCTGCCCAAGTAGATGCAAGTGCTAAAGAGTAACCAATTTCAAAAATTTTAATTCAAATAGTAAAACATATGATTAAAATACCTGAAATATAGTGTAATTTTTTTCTTGTAACATGTCTGAACTGCTATTTACTCCAAAGACTATCCAGAAGGCACGCTTGGACGTACCTACTTTTAAGATGGAACGTTCCTCCCAATGTTAATCAAAGGACAAGAAAATTAAGTCACAACTATATTGCTTAATTGATCAATCCATCTTTAATCACCACTTCAAACATTTTCATTTCAATTTCAGCAATGATTACAGCAAAATTAAAATGTGCTTTTATAGAAGAGATGTTTAATTAAATGATCTCATCATTTAATTAAACAATGCAGCCAACAGCCACATAGTCTGGACAAAGAGAACTGAAAAGGTTGTCATGCCTTCTCAGAAAGAAGTTCTAAAGCCTTCTAAAGAAATTAAGCAGTTCATACAGGAAGAAACAAAAAGCCAAATATGCTAAGGAAGTTCACAAACTTGTTAACCCAGTAGAAATTTCTGCGTCAGAACTGTGGCCAAGGTCTGGCAAGGCAGGGCTTGAATTAAACATTAAGGAGAAAGTGCTTTAGACAAAGATTAACACGGATCAATAGAAACGATCCAATCTAACATTTCAGTTGGATTTTAGTATCCAACTTATCCTGGACATATCCATAGCTCCGAGTCCAACCCTCATTTGAATGTGGATTCATGCATTCATCTGTCAAAAGTGTCTGATGATGAAAGAAAAAATGCTTGCGTATATAAGGACCACCTCGCATCCTGGAAGACCTGCAATCATGTTCCAGTTCTTCTAACTGGCTTGCAATACAAAACAAATCCCTTCATTTGTGCCTCCAGTTCTTTTTTATATACACAGATGTAGTTACTTCCTTTTTCCAAAGGCACTGTGAGCGTTTAATATACTAACAGATCGTATGTGTCCTATTAGCAGATGTACAGAGGCTGAAGCATCAGAAAGTATAAAAATCATCAAATGAAGCTTTAAGAACGCACAAAAAAGCTGTGAAGAGAAGACTTTCTGTTACTTTGCCAAAAACACACAAAAAATACTGAAGTATTTACAGCAAATATTTGATACTACAGAGTTTAAAAGGTCTGTTATATATGCCTTTAACTGGTACTACACTGTCTGCATGACATCACACAAACAGATGCCAGCCCAGTCGTGTTTTTTGCTTCTAAGAGTCTCCTGACAGTTCTTAACTCGCAGCTGGAAGTCTGTGTTAAAGAGCGTGTGCACGCAAACACACACAGAGGGAGAACTTAATTAAACCAAGATTAGGAATACTTGTTTTTTAAATTACATTTTCATTAGACATCCAGACCACGGATAACAAACCTGCCTTTATACCAAAGACCTTTTTTTTCTCTGTTAAACTATTTCAATCAGTGCAATGGACCAGTTTTCTTGCAAATGTTAAAGTTAAAATTTAATTATACAGTGTAATCCTGGCTTTTTGACGAATGATCAACATTAAAGCAGGAAAATTTATTATATCAAAATTTTATTAAAATTCTAATTAGAATTTATCTTTTATTAATCATTTAGAGACTGGTGCTGTTAAAAATAATTCTTCAGAATTTATTTGAGGTACTCTGACTTCCTCCTAGGGAACATGTTTAGCTTGATGTCTTTTCAGAAGCTTAATATAACACCTATGCTTAGGAAAATGGTAAGCAGTAGCTGCTTTTCACTCAGTCTGCCATCTCAGCAATTTACATCCAACCAAAAGATTAGTTCCTGCTCTATGTGCTCACATGATCCTTTAACAAGCCAAATAAAAAAAATCCTAACAGGTTTGGACACACAGAACTACCTAGGTGCATTTTGCAACGCTAATCTCAATCACTAGGAAGTCAAGTAGTAGGAACTGGGCAGACTAACTGTAGGGTAATCTTACAGAAAGGAGGACTGGCAAGACTTAAAGAACAGATCTGATTGTTAGGATATGGGCACAAACAGGTTTGAGAAGGCAGTTCCTGCATAAGTAATCCTCAGTGCAAGCTTCTCACACCTTACTACAGGGATGTGCACACAGTTTAAGGTTATCTGTTTACTACTCCACGGTGCAATATTTGGGTCCTTTGCACAACACATTTTCTCTGGTTTAGCTAAATTTACATACATTCTTCAAATCAAATAACCTCGTGCAAAACCTTATGTGGACATTTGTTTTGTCTTAGGGTAGAACCTAAAGAAGATATGCATGCATTTTTCTGCACTGCTTTAAATATGTTAATTTAAACAAATAAACATTTCATTGCTTTTTTTTTTTTTTTTTTTTTTAAAAAATGGCCCCCCCCCAACACCCCCAATTTTTAAGGAGTAAAGTTAATGCATTTCAGGACAGTTCAGCCTTGACAGGTTCTGCTTCTATACATACAGTTCCCTCTCTGCCATTGCTAGGAGCTACTGTTGTCAAAAACAGGCACGCCTCCAAACACACACTCTTCTCTTCAATGAAAGCAGCTCAAGTTTTAAGCATATGGACGCATGCCAGAAGGAGCTTTGTTGCTAGTGCTTGCTTCTGTCTTGTTCCAAGAAAAGGTGACTAGCCAGGTGGAAATGCTTAGTAGGTCAGATTTGGCCTAAGATCACTGAGTAAATAATGCTTATTTAGAATTAAAATGTCCACGTAAATGCTATATTTTCCATATCAGGGATACTTCTATAGCAGTACAGAAAAAAACCCTGGCGCAAGTGATCTAAACCCTATCAGTTATTCAACATTGCAACTGAAAAACAATGTATTTGAGACCATCTCTAAAATTCATCACCATATTTAATACAGCAAACACTACAGCTACATGAAATTAAGTATTTTTTGAATGATACTATTTGGTTTTCTATTCCTAAAAAAACCCAAATATTTCTTCAACTATGTCTATCCAGACTCTTCTGGAATTCAAATACAGCTTCACCATCAAGTCACCCCCACTAAGGTGGAGAACAGATGTTTAGTGTGATGCACATGCAGCTCCTATGCCAAGGCCAGATTCTTTGCTTGGTTCTACCGGATTTAGTTGCCCCTCCTCTCTCAGTTTCACCTGTCTAAAGTCTTGTCTGACTTCTTCGAGCAGATCTGGCTTGAAAATTACATCCAGTGCTGTCATTGCCAAAGCTTTTGCTGTGCGCAAAGCATAGAACTGAGCATTCTGTGACCCTATAGAAAAGCAAGAGAAATTTGAGGTTAAATATTACACTGCGTAATACAGAATCACTATTTATTATAAAGCATATTTTATGAAATAAGACTTTGGAGTTTAAATTGCAAGAACAATTTCAAAGAAATTCTGCTTGCCTGAATGAAGTATGCCTATTTTCCAATGCCCCAAAACAATTTTCCACATGCAAGTACTTATTTCTGCTACTGATTTAAACAAACAAGATAGAAAACAGGAAAATGAAAGTGTTCACATTTATGCTTTTAGAAAATGGAGAGTTTTAAATCATATTTGTATTATGTTTCCAAAGCATTGTTTTAAGAGTAAAAATTTTTACTTTTATCTCTTGGCTTTAACACGCTCACATTTAGAAATTCTTCTGTGAATATGCTAGTAGGACGAATCCTTCTAATTTCTTCTTACTAGATGGTATATTGAAAAGAAGTCAGGCTTTTAGAGAACATTCCACTATAATGAGTGGTAAGCTTTTGCATATACAAATATAAAAACAGATATTCTAGATATCATTAGCTTTTTTCCTGCAACTCTGCAATTAACTAAGTTAATTGTTTCAGGGTCAGTATTCGGCTCAGATTCCATAATTCTTAAAAACATCAACTCCACTGCTACAGAGGACAGCCATGTTCAGGTCTAGTACTCATTCTTTTATAGCTTTACTCTACAGTAGCTTTGAATACCATGAGAAAGCTTTAACCTTCTGTAAATCCAAATATTTATAATATCTAGATTTTTTGTAGAGTCAGCAACCAGTCCCTACAAGGCGTAGGATTCTAAATTTGAACTTCTAACCCTTTTCACTTCAACTCACCTGCAGCTTCCGTGTACTGCTCAGTATGATTCAATGCTTCTGAGCCAATATAAAAATAAGGATGAAGCCCAGGAACTACAAACGTAACATTTCCAAAGTCAGTGGAACCTAGAAGGAGTGGGGAAAGTTTCTAAATGAACATGTTAAAATTTTGAATGCTGTAAGACAATGTATGATATACACTGCCTATATGCCAGTCTATATGCAAAACAGAATATCTCTTGTCTCAAATACTACAATATAAGCATTTTTAAGAACTCTCTATCCATACAAATACTCCTGCCACTGAGCTGAGTTTTCGCTGACTAGCTATCTTTAGATGCTATTCTCCACTGCACTTCTGAACAATACCCGTTTACTGTTAAATTTTCATGAGGCACGTGTCTCCTGATAGTCACTTGCTAATTCAGAAAAGATGGAACCTCTAGACCTTGGAGATTGGGACTCCACACCTATTTCAAATCCAGCTACAGATCTTAGAATCACTGTCTCTAAGATGACACTTTTGCAGGCCCAACAGTTACCGTTTTTCACCAGCATGCAAGTGTTCAAAATGGGGGGATAGGAGGAGGGACTCTGAAGTATGAATATTCTAAAATACTACCCTCAAACAAAAATAGATTGGGGACAACTGTTTTTTCTGTGCTTTGTGATTATTCTGTGTTATAGAAACCTGAACAGCTCAAGCACTTGTGAAAAACAAGACATTAGAACTAAACTCTAGACACAATGCTAATGGTTTACAGAGAATTCTTGATAGCAATACTGCAAATTTTAATAACAGGACAATTCTGCTTCCATACATGAGTAGCATTGTCAATGCGTTGCCTACTGATGCTAACTGTCTTGCAGGTACTACATTATCCATTTAAAGATACCATCCAGAAGCAGTACACCCCTCAGAGCAAGACATCCAACAGTTTGCAACTATTACCAGGTGCCTTTTTCTACTCAAACAAGCAATTCACTCAGTATCTCGATACAGTGTCAAGTACTCCCCTATTTATGAAAATTACATTTAGAAACTTGAGAAATCAACATGTGATTACTGTGAAATTCAGGTACTAAAGGATGTATAAAATCATCTTGCTCAATGGTAGGGAGGAAAAGGGATGATCAGTTCAGAGATCTCAATTAACTTTTTTCAGGCCAGCCACAGCTGCGAGAAATTTTTCTTTAGAGACAGCAGACGAAATGGCTCTTCCAAAGACTTAAAATTATTTCTAGCTCTTAAGTAGCCTCCTTATCAAAGTAACCTTATTGGAGAGAGGGTATCACTTATGCCTTAAGACTTAGCAATGAATTGACTAAAGACTACAGCTTTTACTTGGAAAGATTAGGATTATTAAATGTTAGTCCACAGAACCTGCATTTTGTGATCAAAGAGGACAAGACTCTAGCTTGCTATTTGTTCTGCTAATATACAAACGGAAGCAGAAAGATTTGTTCAATGACCTTTTCCCACAAATTCAGTATTGATTTCAATTAAATCCAACTCCTAGTACAGCAGCTTATTTTAATTTTCAGTAGTCTATATCGTTGATCCATTCTTTGATCAAATCTAGAAAGACAAAATGGAAGTCTAGGAGTTCTCTCTACTCCAAACTACACGAAGAGTTCTAGACTTGCCTTACTAACCTCCAATACACCGTCTGCTGGAAAGACTACGTAGGTTTCTTTTCTGCTTTCATCCAGCAAATGAAGCTTTAGAAATTTCCAGTGCGTCCTAGCTCACAACCATACAGTTCCACTTGAAGTGCTGTTCATATCCAAACCTCTACCAATTTACAAGTTATTTTTGTTGAATGTAAGGTATCTGACCAGGCATTTTCTAGTAAAATTTAGAGCTTACCAAGTCAAAATACAGATAGCTTTTACTAAAATTGTGCCAATCAAATTTTCCCTTCTTTCAGAAAAATATTAAGCCCTTAGCTATAACCTAGCAACTTGTTTAAAACATCAGCTGTTCCAATAGTTCCCATACAAACATCTGGAACTACACACTTGCTAGAGGTGTACAGATCAGATTTGCTTCTGGAAGCATAAATGGTAATTATCAGTGCAATACACAGACTTATGCAATACCTTCAACAGAAAGATACCAGCTTCTCAGAGGAATGTCCTGTAGCAGATACCACAACCTAGTCAAGTCACTAAGCACATAATGGAACTCAAAATTGCCACTAACATGAAAAAAGGGAAAAACGCAAAGATTTCAGGAAGCCTTTACATAGAGTCCTAAGCTTCAAAAGCGGCATTTTCAAAACATACTGGCTCCTCCTTAACATCACCTATATCAAATCTTGTGCACGGGAAGCCAGTGAATGTTAAAAATATCAACATAAATCATCACAAATGCAGGGGCCTGGAATGTGCTCAGCTAAGCCATTTACTTTGGAAAGACACCAATATCCTGTAGTAGAACTATCCTAACAGCAGAAGAAGAAATAGGTCATGGCACCTGCTCAAAGCCAACTCAGATTCACATTCCTTCACACCACTCTGGCTGCGTGCCAAATAAGTGGAGTCTTCCACAAGGCAATGTAATTGGATGGATGAAAGGTATTCTTCAAAAACACTTAACTGCCTAGAGTGATACCTGTAAGCAGACCGATACTAACACCCATGTAGAGGTGGCAGTGAGTATGCTCATCTGCTAACGACTTTTCTGCTGCACAGACATGGAGAAGCAACTGAGCTATCTTCCTTCCCTTTCAACAGAAGGAAGGGATATCCTAAAAGAAAACATTGAAAAACCATATGAAAACTGAACAGAAATAGAGGTCTTGAAAAAGATGAGACAAAACACTCAAACTTCCAAAAAGGGCAGCATACAAAATTCTACTATGGAATTTTAGGATGAGCTTTAAGTTATCACTCCCAAATCCCCAGCACAACAATTCACAGGAAAAGCTGCGGGGAGAAGAAAATTCAGTAAGGCCTAACTGCAGCATGAGATAAAAACTCAATTGCTTGAGAATATTTTGACAATTGACAAACAATTAAGGACAGGCATATGGGGAGTTTCAGTTTAAGCAAGTTAACACAATGCATTATGCAACTTACATATGAAAGCCCTATTGTATTACAGTTAGGAGTTTGTACCAAGTTCATCCAAAAGGCCTCTGAAAGAGCAAGACCACCATTATTCATGGTCTTCTGAACACTTAACAACAATGGTTTGTGAGGGAAGCAACTATCAGAGCTCCAGAAAATTTATCTACAGCTAGCGTTCTAAAGACAGGAAAACAAGGTCCTTCAGCCCCTTTTTAAGGCCAAATGAACAAAACAGTATACATCTTGCTTATACCACATTGAAAGATCAATAAAGAAATCTGTCTTAAGTTATAATTGCATTTCTAAACCCAAGAAAACCAGTGAATTAGAGAAAATATGCTAGTGCTACCTTAATTTGGAAGGACAATAATCGATAGAGAAAAACACCCAGAACACAGTGAGGCATGCTGTCTCCCTCGCCCAAAACGCAACTGGAAGTTTGGAGAATTCCACTCCCATACCCTCTAGATCTCAACTGTCTAAAGATGATCTGTGTTTAATACAGAGAAGATTAGTGTTGCAATCAAACCACTGAGAGTACAAATTTTTGAATGAGTAAAATCTTTTATTTCCAACCAAAGAGAAATACCTTTAACAGGAGTGGAGTAAAAATGGTTTTATGTGACCAGTAGTCAAGACCATGAATACCTTCTAAGATTCATGCTTTTGAGTAAGATCAAAGAATGCTGAAGTAGCAGCAGTAGTTAGAGAAACCTTTAAGAGAGGTCCTGTAGGAGGATTCTAAAAAACAACCGTTTAGGGTAACCAGTGACTCACCTAAGCATTCAAGAATTCACACTCTTGTTACCACAGCCCCGAGGCACCAAGAAAGTTTAATACCTTGAGATATTTTGGATCAGAGAGTCAGGACCCAAAAACAAGCACCTAGTTGAATGGCATCCTTTGGAAAATTAATCTGTTGAATTTGTGAACGGAAGTAAGAAGCAGAGAATTACCTGATAATGGAAAGGGTTTTTTAAAATTAGGGTTACTGAGATACTTAAAGAAGCTTCCACTTAAGCATCAAAAAGTCCCTCTAAAATATTAGTTAGATGCAGGTTGATTCATTTATCAGTAGGCTTAGATGAAATTATTAAACAAAGTTCCTAAAAACTAGATCTCATCTCTATTCCTATGAATAATAGCAGGATTCTGTATTTCAGAGCAATATGATGAGCCTCATTTCATTCCACATACTCATGTTCTCAGTAAGATGGCTCTTTTCCTTCCATCCCTCCACAACCAAAATATTTCTTGTATGAAATATTCTGTGAAAATATCGACTGCTTTTCCTGTTTGTCAGGGAAGTTTCTCAGCTTCCAGAGCAAACACAAATACACAGGCCAGAGGTACGATCCTTTTACGAAGTTTCGATTTTCTAATTTGATTTTTTTCTTCTGACCAGAGTATGCTTAACCTACCCCTATCCCATTATTTTATACACTTAAGATTTGATCAATCTAGGCTTGTCATAACAAAAAAAGCCAGATTTGAGTTACCTGACAAGCCATTCAAAACACAGTCATCTGATATAAATTCTATTCCAAGCTTCTTTCCATTCTCCTTGTAAACATTCTCCAGGCTCCTATTTGGAAGCACATTGTAGTAATCTTGTTCACCACCTTTTATTTCCACCTAAGCAAGAAAAACAAACGGTTAGACATTATTCCTCAATCTAAATCAGTTTAGCCTAACTCTGTTTAATGACCCGAAAATTTAAATACATGTCCACATTTTTGGTCCATATCAAAACAGACCTAAGTAATAAGTTCCTTTCCAAAAAATGTAACGAGCTTTTTACTTTCTTCATTTAGCCAAATACTATCCTTGATCAAAACCCAACTGGGGGTTCCATCAAGCTTCCACAGGACTGTCAAATTCCAGAAGTATGGATTTTGTGGATAGCATCAATAATTAAAAATAGTAAGCAGACATTTCTAAAATGGCCTCTAATGGGTTTCAGTGCAGATACTATTAAACTAAATAGAAAACCATTTAGTCTTCCATCAAATTCCATTTTACTATTTTTAGGTTAAGAACAGTCCCAATAATTACAGCTCCATTAATATTTATGGAATGACTTCACACAGGAAAAATGTTTGAAAATAAAGGCAAAAAAGTATCAGCGTCAAGTTTCAAGAGACCTTAACTTCAATTGAGAATAAAGTAAAAATAAAACAAAATTAAGAAAACTTTTTGAAACTCTTTTCTAGCTGCATTGGAGACCTTACTAGGAAAACAGCATGACTTAAGTAGACCTTAAAACTCACTAACTCACGTTCATGTGCAATATACCCATTTATTCTGGTGACATTCTTTTCACAAAAGTGTGTTTTTCACAGATAGCCAAGCCCCCAGCCTGTAACTACAGAGCAAGCAGAACTGCTGATCTTAGCAATACACTACAAGGTAATCATACAGTTTGAACCAGCTATAGGAGACACTACTGACTAAAAGCAAAAAGGTGGGAAGAATGCTAAATGAAATCAGCCGTTTTTTATGTTTGGGTTGCTACACAAGCCTGCTACTCAATGAGGCAATGGACCTAGTAACAAAGAACACAGAGGAAAGATATAATACTCAATGTGCTTTGCCTGTTCTTACTAGTAAGGCTTACCCATAAGCCTCCTGTCTCTGAGCCTACCGGCACAGTCTGTAGGAGTGCAGCATCATCAACAGAAGGAGAATTAGGTGACACTTGAACAAATTGGACAAACATAAGTCCATGGGAGCAGATGGGATGTATTCAATGGTGCTGAGTGAGCTCCCTGACTGCAGTGCCATTTTATCAGTTTCAAAAGGTCACGGACATTGAGGGATGTTTCCACTGATGGAAGAAGAGGTAAACATCATCCCCATCTTGAAGAAGGTCCAGGAAGAGGATCTGGGATATTACAGGCTGGTCAGCCTATCCTCAGCTGCTGAGGAGATGATGGACCAAATCCTCCTAGGACCCACATCCAGGCACATGAATCACAAGATGACTGTGAACATCCAACATAGATTTACCAAAGAACAGATTGCACCTGACCAAACTTAGCTTTGCATGATGAAATGTTCAACTCAGCGTATAAGGAAGAGCAGAGGCTGTTATTTACTTTCACTTAAGCAAGGTCTCTGACCTGGTCTCTTACCATATCCTCATAGCCAAATTAAGGAAATAGGGCCTGAATAAGTAGACTACAACACGGGTGAAAAATTGACTAGACAATCAGACTCAAAGGGTTATGATCAGCGGCACAAAAATCCAAATGGTATCCCTCAGCATTAATACTGCTGCCATTACTGTTTTAATATCTTCAGTTCAGACACCAGGTAAGAGCACACTCCAAGCAAGTTTGTTGACAATACCAAAGTGGGGGTGGGGAAAAGCAGTTTATAAGCTGGAGAGTACAGCTACTGTTCAGAAGGATCTCAACTGGTCAAAAAAAATGGGCTGGCAGGAACCTTATGACGTTCAGCAAATATAAGTGCAAAGTTTTGCATCTGCAAGGGAATAATACCGTGCAGCATTACTGGCTGGGAGCTGAACGTCTAGGAAACAGCTCTGCAGAAAAGGATCCAGTGGTCCTAGTGGACAAGTTGACAATGAGTCAGCAGCCTGCCCTTGCAGCAATGAGACCAAACACAAACTGAATTGTACTAGTAACACTGTAACCAGCATGTTGAGGGAAGAGATTCTCTCTGCGGAACTGGGTTTGTTCAGCCTTCGAAGAGGAGGCTGAAGGGAGACCTCACTACTCTCTACAACTACCACATAGGAGGGTACAGAGAAGACAGAACCAGACTTCTCAGAGATGTCCAACAACAGAATAAGAGGAAACAGACAAGTTGCAACACAGAACATTCCTGTGAGATATGAATATTAGGAAAATCTTATTTGGGGTGGGCGAAAAGAGGGAATCACACAGTGTAAACAGGCAGCCCAGAAAGGTTGCAAGAATCTCTGTCCCTGGAGATATTCAAAACTTCACAAGGCCCCACACAACATGGTCTAGCTGGCCCTGCTCTAAACAGGGTCACTGGACCAAATGACTTCTGGAGGTCTTCTCCAACCTAGATTATTCTGTGATTCTCTGGCATTCTATTTATAAACCAAAGCTTGCTTTCAGGACACAATGCAATATAATAGCAAACAGTGTCACAGAAATTTAGGTTAACTTCAGTTAAGCACCATGCAGACAAATGCTGTAAGCCTCAGTTTCATGTTCTGGCCTACCTTATCTCCAGCGTAACAGAAATATATGACTGTGAAGACATTCTTACTTTGCATCCCGTGGCCAGTGCTGCAGCTTTGAAGCAGTTTTCAACTTTCTCTGTCAGAACAGAAAGATCTTTCACTGAAGGGGCACGCAAGTAAAACTCTAGTTCAGTGTAAGAAGGAATGATGTTAGGTTTCACACCACCATTTTTTATTACGCCTATAAAAAGAGAAAGGTCACGTTACTGATGTTGCAGACAATTGCTTGACCTTCAGCCCTGTCACGAATCTCTTAAGAACCAAATCAACAAAAATGACAAAGCATAAGCTGAGCATAAAATGCAAAGAATGACAAAAATATAGTAGGTGGACAACCCTTTTCTTCACCATGTCACATCAGTAAGTGGGATGCGCAAAGCTTTTTCAGTGTATTTTTCTCACATTCATCTGATCAGATGTCTGTTATTATCCTAAAGAAAAACCAAACTAGCATTTGTAATTAATCCCCTGGAATTCAATGCATCAGAGCTGTTAATCAATCCGGCTGTTTTTGAGAAACGGGAAAAAAATCTGTTATAAAGGCTACTTTGGATTCCAGCCTTTTAAGGTTTCCTCCACTACGTCATGTTTCCAACTTATTTTGCCAGCTTGGAGAGAACTGTATTGACTCTTTATGTTTTTCTGCAATGCTAAAATTCTTTACTTATAGCAATGTGCATGTGCTGCAGTGTATAGAAAGTTCAGTCAATTCTTCATACTAATTCTTTGGCAATACTGGAGTGTGTGTTTTAAATATATATATTATCTCGATATCTATACACACACACACACACACACACACATATATATGTGTGCACACACAATTTTATTCATGGGTCAGGCTTGAGCTGAAAGTGTTCCCTCAAGGAAATATAAGACAACTACATAATTGTCAATTATGGCATCAGAAATGGTGTCATAAAAAATAACATTTAGTTATTTCAACAATACAACGTTGTATATCTCAATACTATATTAGATGCCAATGCATTAACAATAGCTAGTTGTTTTTAAACAGGCTGCCCTTGTTCCCAACGCCTGCTATCATGAACTTATGTGGGATCAGATTTGTTTCGAGCAGAATCCAAGCGATCATCTTCTCTTAAATGGAAACATTGCACAAAGTTACTGAGTGTATTGCTTGAGCCTGAAAAGGCTGCACTATCAGGATGCAAATGGGAAAAAAAATCTTAACTTTTTACTGCAGAGAACTGATTAGGACTGTGAACCTCTCCCCAAATAAAGTCTTTCCAATCTCGCACACAGACAACAAAGTAAACAAAGTGCTCAACCAAATGATCAGCAGTAATCTATAACAGAAGGAACAGCTCACATCAGAGGGAGACACATCACAAAACAAACCAGCAAGTAAGCAACCATGCAAATTTACATGGTACATACCATAGTATGTTTGCTCGAAACAAGCAGCTTATGGAGCAAACCACTTTTGTTTGTTTTTAATGCATCTGTAAACAGAACTGGATAGTCTAAGAGTACGTCTATACTTAAATTTCAAGCAACTGCAATATGGAGCAGATAGCAGACTTAGCTTGAAAGCAGGTGGTTTGCACAGTAGTTGTAGCACCTAGTTTACCCTGCTTGTAGATGGGACTTTTAATTTTTTACAAACTCTTTCGTACAACTTCTTGAACATAACAAATATAATCTAGGAAAAAGAATCTACGTTCCTATTATGCTTACTGCACTCATAAATGGGGAGGAACAATAGACCTATCAAATACCAGACAAACTCAAAACATCATCAGTCAATTATTTAAAGCGTTGCTTAGAAATTCTAGACTTCAAGTGATGGAAACTATTTCAATGCTTGTTAGTTGATTAAGACAAAGACGTTAGGATCAGTTGCTTTAACATAGCTACTGCTGTTACTGCAAATCTGCAACATAAAACCTGCAAGACACTGTTTAGGGGAAATATTTCTAAAATCAAATCTCATTCTGGCAGCTTACACCTTCCCAAATATATTTTAAAGATGTCTGGTTTGAAAAACAGTTTTATGACTGCTGTTACATCAGCACAGTAACTTAAGTGGCACAGTGGTTCAGAAACTGTTATTTCCCCTTAGCTGTGTTTAGACAGTTAACTCATTTCCCATGTTGTGTTTAGTTTAGGCTCAGGTCCAACAAAAGACTGAGGCACCTCCAATTTTAAACCTGCAATGCAAGTTTCATGTACCAAAACTCAGAATTAAGTGTAGCTTCCTACAGAGCAACAGGATAGACAGTTAAAGCTAGCTGGGAAAAAAGGTTATGCCCACTGGCTGAAATTCCTTCAGGTAGGCTGCCTAACAGAACTGCAAATGTATCTTCATGCACAGTCCAAAGGCCTATGGCTTCCAGACATCCATCTTCCTGGAGAGAAATGTGCACATGCTTTATACAGATCACCTAAGCGCAAGCAGCCAAGACACAAGTAATAATCATTTGTTCAGGATTTCTAGAAATGTAATAGCTCACAGCAAGTGTTCCAAATAAATGGCTCATTCAGAAGTCCTGCAGAAATAGCCGGATTTCTTATTTTCCATTTAGAAAAAACTGTGGAGGGTGGGATAGGGAAATCTGAGATTACAGCTAACGGGAAACTTCCACTTCAACACCTGAAACTTTCCCACTGTGTAAAAAGAAACGCAAGATGTTCCAGGAGCATGAGTCAAGCTTAATGGTTAACATGTTTTACTGCAAAAGGAATATACATTTTTACTTCAAGATCTACTAGATTTTAAATACTAGACTCCAGTGCATATCTAGCTGACTCATCTACTAAACAAAACTGCAGATTCCTGCCACCACTTGGTTTTCATACCTCAGGGAACAAGTGCGAGTCACTCTAGTCCAACACACCTTTTCGAAAATGTCAATATAAAGACAATCTAATTAATGGAATGTCTACTACAAAAATGTGCAGAAAATAACACTTCATTTTTTAGAAGCATTTAGTCTTCCAACTTTGCAAAAATACATACATTAACAACTAAGGATTTCAAGGCGTTGTACCAAAATAAATTTGGTCTTATGTTCTTTCTCCTTCTGAATTGCAACTTCAAATGTACGCATTCAAAATTTTTCTAATCTCTGTTTAGGTATCACTGTCCTCTTTTGAATCTGACCCGTAAGTCTATTTTCAGCCGTTAATTCTGGACACCGATGTGATTTTAAAAGTCAGGGAGAAAAATATTTAAATGAAACATTGCTTTTTCATATTTGAAGTGACTATAGTAATTTAGTCAAATAATGTAATATTTTAAATTGTGGGATTTTGTAAGTTAGTATTTGAACAGCCTAAAGTCTTACTTGCTGGACATTAGATTTAATGAAGCTCTCACCATGAACTCTCCAGGTTGGTTTCATTTGCTGTCTTAAAACAGACAGATTGTTGTATGCAAGAACAGCAGCATCTAATGCATTAACTCCTTCCCAAGGATAAGCAGCAGCATGAGAAGCTTTTCCATAGTATTTCACAGTCACACTAGGAAATAAAAGGCATTGCTTATTTGTTTTTCATTCATTGAAAAAACTCTCTAAAATAAAAAGTTTCTTTGGTTCACACAGTTACAGTTGTTATTTACGTTCTGCCTGTGAGAACACAAAGCAACAATTTACCAGGCACTATACCACTGCAAAGTTAAAACTACCTCTGAATGCAGAAAAGATCCCGAAAGATTTTTAGATCAATGAAATGAAGCGATGTCAAGAACAATCAGGCAAAGGAGCTACTGCTAACGTACCACTACACAGTCTTTTTCTGCAAAGTACAAGTTTCATATACTGAGTATATTTCTCCAATACTTTTGTATGCCTGCCTGACCACTCTGAGGCTTACAGTTCCTAACAAATCCTTCTTCAGTAGAGGATAATACGCCCTTTTCTATGATTCAAACTCATATACGCTTGACAAAAATTAGCTTGACCCTGTGTTGCACAGAAGTCAACTTAACCACTTACCCTGTACTAACCTCATATGCCTCAGAGCATGCCAGGGCTGTTAAGTTAATACCAGAACGTAAATACTGGACGGGAAAAAGGGGCACAATGGAGCATACTGCAATAGTAGAGCAAATGTCTCATGCTACTGCGCCTGCAATCTGAAGCAAGTATTCCACCACGATGCCTTTCTTTTCCTCCTTCATCCCACTGTGAAAAGCGAGTTTTATTTAAAATAGATTATCACATATGAATCAAGATAAGAAAGTTAATTCATTAACATTCCAAGCGTTAGACTGCAAACCCTTTAAAAAGAAAAAAAAAAAAGGTGGCAGGACAGATCACCGGGTAGTTATTCGCAGGAAAAGGAGGGAAGGGAAAGTAAAGCAAACGGCGATACTGTAGTCATCTTTTCCAAAAGAAACACACGTTTCTTATTTTTACATATATATAACACACACACATACATATATATATGTGTTTTCTCTCATAATGCCTTTTCTTGTAGTTTCTGTTGCTACACAAACGTCACATACTCTCAAAGAAAAAAAGAGTCAGACTTTTCGTGAACAATGGAACCCTAAACAACCTTAACAATATCAGCACAAGAACACAGATCTTATTTGATCAACAAAACATCCAAGCTGATTAGATGAGTAAGTATCAGCAAATTGCTGCATGGATTCACAAGTCATCTCAATATGTTATTTTTACATTTCATGCACGAGACAGCTTCAGAGTTTGCAGACATAGTAATACTAATAATTTAGGGATCTGCAGACCTTAAATTCCTAGGAAACAATCAAAAGATCAAATCTTTATACCTCATCATTATATAAGCCATGACCAAGGTTAAATATTTCAGGCTTTTGGAGGCAGCAAGCTGTTTCACACAGTACTCTTTCATATTCAAGGTTTAAAGTCCATCTAGGACTTGTGTCCTACAGTAGACACAAGGAGAGATTGAAGGGAGATTTTCAAATCTTTCTGTATCAGTCTCAAAAGGCTAAGAGTCAAGAATGAACAGAAAACCAAAACTATCAATAAAAGCTACATCTTGAAGATTAAAAATACAGCCTTAAAGCGATTACAAACAGTTAAGATTCTTTAGAAACACAAAGAAGTAATATAACACAGGGTTGGCTATTCAAGGAAGACTGGGCCTTACCGACCCTTTCTACCCTAAAAGTAAGCAGCCATGAAAGCAAATTGTTCACCAGAAAACCACTGAAGGAGAGGGCAAAGGCAAAATGGCCAATAAAAGCAAGCAAAAAGGGCTGGAAGGCAGCACAACTAAGAAGAAAACAGCACTCAGTGCATTCAGGTCAGGCACGGTGGAATACCCATTTAATTAAATATTTTAAAAAAATTAGTCAAAGACAACAAAATGTAATACTTGAAGGAAAAATTGTTGCACTGGAGGGAGGTAACGGGTGGCATCCCTGCAAGATAAGTCCTTGGGACCAAACATTAGTGTCCATGTTGCATGAAATCCACTAATGAAAACTGCTTGCTGATAGATAGCCTACAGCTGGGACATCAGGAAAGCAGAAGAGGTTTATAATATCAAAGAAAGAATGGCATGACCTTGCAGACTGAAATAGTGACAGAAATAGGATGTAACTGAAAAATGTAAAAAAGCCATGCACTTACAGACTGTGTATTTCTCTTGTAAGAGCTCACTGCTGGAAAATGACTGAAGAGCAACCCTCATATGTGCTGTCTACACACACAGCTGTCTACAGAATGATTATGAAGTACCAGTTTGCTGAAAAGTAAACAACCCTAAGATGCACAGACGCTGAAATTTCCAGGAAGTAAAGACACACAGTGGTCTCAGTATTAGCTGAGTAAAGCCTACTGAGATCTCACCTTAAGTTTTGTGTACAATCCTGATTATGCACATCCAGCAAGGAGTACTTCAAAACAAGTTGCTGTAAGCGCAAACAACGAACAAGTGCAGAGAAAGAACAGTAGGACTAATCAAAAGAAGTCACGATCTAGTTTCCAAAGAGCTATATGGCTAGCTGGCAAAATGAAGTCTTAGAGGAGATGTGACTGCTGTCTATACACATCCTGGGCATAAACATGAAGAACGGCCGAGAATTAATTTGAACCAAAATACCCAAGCTGATGAGAGCTAACAAATGTAAAATGGCCAGCATTAAATTTAGGCTGGAAGTTAATAAGGATCCTCACAACCGCCAGGTTCAGCTGACTACCTGTTTCAGAAGTGGGAGAAAAACAGAATCACTTTCAAAAATGATTGGAACATTTATACAAAGGAGTATGACTTAGTATCCAAGAAAGCATGGAACTACCATCAATGAGATCCCAGTTCTATGCTATAAAATTTAAAGAAGAGATGCTTTTCAAAGGAAACTGTTTTTTAGAGAGAAGATAATGGTATGCATGCGTAAAATGGAATGCTAAGAAATACATCAGAAGAAAAAATGAATTCTGGGGACCCATGTAAGATTACCTCTGAGCCATAAATGATCTTTAACACTAAATTTTAAGCGTGAAGAGCATCAACATTAACATTAAGAACTTTCTACCACAGACACTGCGCTATATTACAACAAGCAATTTGGTGTTTGGCTTGAATGGCTTCCTTGAGATATCTATCCTCTCTACTAACGTTTTACAAACGAAACAAAAAGATACAAGCCTAATGAACTCCCACAAACAAAACATACTGTACAAAAGCCGTTGCAAGCCGAACACAGTGCTTTGGAATAACTGCTCTGACAGTGACCTTAGCTGACCGTAAACATCTTGTTTGAAGGGCACCTGCAAGGTCCCAGACCCTAAGTTCAGCCTCTTCCAAAGCAGCTCTCCTACTGAAAAGGATAACAGCAAACCAACCCTTTCCACCCCAACTCGTTCACTCACTCGTGCTCTGCTACATCGGGCAGATAAGCTGCATTTTCTTGCGATGGGTGTGCCATAAAAACGACATCCAGGTCATCAAATGCTCCAGCTTTTATGAGATCTATTTTGCCTCCCCCTTCTTCTTCCGCAGGGGTCCCCAGCACTGTAATCTGCAGCACAAACACAAAGAATCAGAGGCCGACCGGGCTGCAGAAGTCAGGGTCACAGGCCGAGGACGAAGCCCCCGGCCTCTGGGAAGGGGTCTCACCTGGAC